ATAATGAAAGTTGCAAAGGAACGTTTTTATAAGACCTCTCGCGATTCGCTCTGGGCCTTTTGGAGGGAAAAGTGTCGTTTTTATTTTGACTTTCAATTATTTTGTGAAATCTAGTTTAAAGTGGAATAGGATAGTGCTATTGTGCCTTAATCGAAGATTAAAACATGAAATTATACGAATCTCGAACTAATATACCCGTATCGGCCCGTTCTAAGGAATCCCGAGCCAATCAAGCACGCCGCCTCACATTGCCTATCCTCTTTGTGGCGGCCATATTTACAGAAGCATAATTAAACGAAGACATGGCTTAAAGGACTTTTTTTTTTTTTTATTGTGACTCGGCAAAATGACTGCACCGCGCCTGATGGAAAGTGCGAATACAGTCCAGAGATGAGAGTAACGGATGGAAAACACAAATATCTTCACTCCGTCACGATCATTTTGCCGGTCTGGCCAAATGCTTCTTCACACTACGTTTGAAGGACCCGATGTTATAGAGGGGAGGGAATACATGCGCCGGGAGTTGGTTCCACTATTTGATGGTTCGGCATAAGAACGAATTGCCAAACTTTTTAGTGCGGGACGGTATTAAACTGACCGTCCAACTGTGGCAACGCAGTCCGGCACGGGTGGTCCGCTGATGGAAAGGAGAGGAAGGGATAAGGTTGAATAACTGTTCAGAGCACTCACCGTGGTACAGGCGATAGAATACGCTAAGAGACGCTATATCTCTGCGAAGCTGTAACGACTCCGCATGCTCAGTTACATGAGGATTGTTGACAACACGGAAGGCGTAGCGCTGCAGTCCATCTAGGGCATCGAGCAAGTACTTGGCAGAGCCGTCCCAAAGGTGCGAACAGTACTCCATGCTGCTTCGGACCTGAGCTTTATACAACAGGTATCGCAGCTCTGGAGTAAAAAATCGGTGCACCTTGTTCAGGATGCCAAGCTTGCGCGACGCGGTACAGATGACGCTCTCTATATAGTCTTTGTTGCTCATGTCCTTCCGGATGCTCATCCCCAGCAGGCTGAGCTTGTCCTGCAGCGTCAGCGTTGTACCCTGAAGATGGGGAAGTGGAAGGAATGGGGATTTTTTGGAACTGAACGCGCATACCTGGGTTTTCTTGGCGTTGAACTCAACCAAGTTTCGGGAGCCCCACGACGATATATGTTCCAAAACATGGTTGAGCTCAGCGACAAGTTTTTCCCGGTTTCTCTCAGGGTCCTCCCGGCTGCTTGACGGTTGCTTATAATAGCAACCGTGCACTGTGCTATCATCTGCATAGCAATGAATGTTGCCAAAAGGCAACAAGTCATTGATATGCAGAAGGAACAGCGTGGGCGACAGCACGGAGCCCTGTGGCACCCCAGCATTAACTGTCACGAGCCGCGAAGTGCCTCCGTCAACAAGGACACGCAATCTTCGCTCGCGCAGAAAGCCGGAGATCCACTCACAAAGGCGGCCGGGAAGACCATATGCCGGAAGCTTGGAGAGGAGACCACGGTGCCAGACCCGATCAAAGGCCTTAGCAATATCCAGACTTATCGCTAAAGTTTCGCCCTGTTTGTCGATAGCTTCACCCCAGAGATGCATTAGATACGCTAGAACGTCACCCGTTGATCGGTTCGGCCGAAACCCGTACTGTCGATCATTAAGAATGGAGTGACGTTCCAGGTGCCGGATTATCTGGATATTTAGAATCCGCTCCATTACTTTGCAGAGCACTGAAGTGACAGCTATTGGGCGATAGTTTGTCGGATCAGACCGATCTCCTTTCTTGGGGATAGGTTGCACGTTGGCCTCCCTCCAAGCTAGGGGCACGTTACCAGATTGGTATGAGAGGCGGTATAAGCGCGTCAGTACGGGAGACAACTCCGCCGCACACCTTTTAAGGACGATAGGAGGTACCCCATCTGGACCATAGGCTTTCCGCACGTCAAGAGTCTGCAGTTCCTTGCGGACATCACATTGCCTGATAACTATATCAGGCATTGTGACTCCGCAGTGGGGAATTGACGGCGGTTGCGCATCTTGGTCGTGAATGCGTGAGTTAGCCCCAAAAAGGTCGGCCTAATAAATAAATTAAAATAAATTGGCTTTCTCTTCGGGGCCATAGGACAAAAATCCATTGGGATACCTCAAAGGCGGCAGCGACGAACGACAAAAATTGGACTGCACGGCTTTGGCCAGGCTCCAGTAGGCACGGCTACCGGTGGGATGGGCTACCAGCTTCTGGCCAATCCGTGAAACGCGCTGGGCATCCGCTCTTATGTAAGCCCTCCTGCAAGACTTGGTTGCTTTGTTATAGGCTGCTTTAAGGGACGCAAGGTTGGGATCCTTTGTTACACGACCCTTGATCCAACCACGATATGCAGCCTGTTTCTCACTAACAGCGTCCATGCATTCGCGATTGAACCAAGGGCGTCCTCTGCGATTGGCGATGACACTGGAAGACGGTATGTAGTAATTCATAGCCGTTCCAATCTCATCGACAACAGCATCGGCAGCTGCTGAGGCATCCTTTCCCGCAAAGCAGTGCTGCAACCAAGGGATGGACGCAAAGTAGTCGCACATACCATCCCAATCCGCCGACGAGTAGTGCCAAATGCGACGAGTGACCTCCTTCAGCTTAGTTGGAGGCATTTGGGAAACCTTACACCCAACCAAACAGTGATCAGAACTTCCCAGGAGGGCGCTGACTGATACTGTATAGTAGGTAGGGTGACTCGCGAGCAGAAGGTCAAGCAAAGAGGGTGCATGATCCGATATGTCTGGAACCCGGGTGGGCTGGGTTACCAGTTGGGTCAAGTCATGCGTGAGAGCGAAAGCGTGGGCAGTTCTTCCTGCATGGTCAGTCTTGAGGGAACTTAACCATGATTCATGGTGAGCATTAAAGTCCCCCAACACGACCATCTCCGCAGATGGGAACTGCGCCTGCGCGTCAAGAGTCGCCTGGCTCTGGCACTTGTATCCAAGCCAAAGTTATTAATAAAAAAAAAGACCTCTCGCCAATGTCAATGTCACATTGATATTGAGAGCAGTGTGCCCATTTGTGGCAGATTTCTACCATTTGGGCAGATTTAATTTTTATTCATTTTCATTGCTGCAGAACATAATAAGTTATATTAAATGTGGCAGAGTTTGGTAGATTTGGGAATATTCGGCAATTATTTTTTTCTTTATTATTTTTGGTAAGAAACTGAAAACTTGTTGTTCTCTGCTAGTACGAACAAATATCTGAAGCGAAATATAGGACAATGTTATAAACATAACCTATATCAATTTCATAACTCCAGCTTCTACAGGCTCTACTCAATTAGCTTTTATGATACTATGATAATTAATCACAAGTATTGATGGGTCTCCTTAATGCACGTCGTCGTCGCCCCGGCAGACTTCTTCTTGTTTCCCAGCATCAAGTCGAAGCTCAAAGGCAAGCATTGGGGCACAATTAAGGACATCCAAGAAGCTACGACGAGGGCGCTGAAGGACCTACCCGTTGACGTCTTCCAGGGGGCCTTCCGGGCATGGATAACTCGCCTACAAAAGTGCATCGATGCTGAAGGGTGTTATTTTGAAGAGTACTAATGTATGGTACCGATAAGTTCAATAAAAGTATTTTTCCTGAAAAATGTTCGATACTTTTGGGACGGACCAGATAAGGTGGCCGTACTACTCTGGACAAACACTTTCACTAGGAACTCTACTGCTACCAGAACATAATATTATTTATTGAGAAATATACATTCCCATTTTCCTTCTTAAAATCTCGTTATAATATCGCACTGTTAATACAATATAGTATCAACTCAAAAAGAGGACTTTCTCAGAATCGATACAAAACGAATTACACTTCCCGCAAAAACCACTAAAATTTATGTGTTATAGTTTATTATAGACACTTAAACAATTTGTCAAATATATTTAATAATAAAATGGAAAAAATAATTTCATGTCTTCAAATAAGGATTATTTTGGCCAGAACTAGCTCACATAAAGTGTGTCTCATTTTGAGTTAAGTAGATATCTTTTGATTGTTTCTTACAATATTCTAACGACGATTTTTTAGACGACGTGAAGAGTATCAAATTTTACGTTCAGTACTGATATACTATTAAATATCACATATTTTGAGTTACAACACTATTGTAATAGCAGTGCGATATGTATAAATTTAAATTTTATTTGTTAAACAATGAATTAAAATATAGGTACTTGTAAGGTATAATAAAAGCTTAAATACTAGAAACTAAAACTAGGATTCAATTACATTAATAAAATTTAGTCACCGCAGCCTTCCCCCTTTTGTATGGTTATGCTAATGCGTTGGGCAAGATAGCTCTTGAGTTTCCTAGACAGTCTAATCATTTTTTGGATAAAATTTTGTAAAGATGAAGGGCACCGGGATCCCTGCTTTCAAATTAAACTTTAAAATACTATTGTCAAGAAACAATTATGATGTCCGTTTTGACATTTGTTCGCTCATCAAGTTTTGTACTAGTTTATAACTACGTTGAAGTAGCTAATTGATGAACATTGTTAAATATAAAATTTATGGATTTATTGTTTTATTTTTATTTATTAACTTATTTATTTTACGACACAACTCGGCATATGTTTTTCTAAATTCGAAATTTAAAAAATGAAATCTATTACGATCGTTAATTATGGGATCGCTGTCCAGCACAACTTCTACCTCATACAAACTCACGTCAAAGCTCAATATAAAACAAAGCAGTTTCGAAACAGTATGTAATAATATACTCGATAAGTAGGTCTTTTTAAATCATTTTCACACAGATTTCATAGTGTTTAACATGAATATGATTGTGTGAGTTTCGCGCCAGCGGTTTTACCAGTAGCCATTGTTTTTTTTTTCATCCGAAGTGGCAATAATTCTCTGGATGAACTGTTTTACAAAGTGCTGTACTGTTACAAAATAATAATAATAGCCACAACAATAGGCATAATAGATTTATTTATCGTCTTGTTGTTTCAGACCGTCTCCAATGCTATGATGTTAAGTGAACCAAGCCCGACAGCGGGCAACGACTCTGTGACGGACCTACAGAGCTTCTTTGCGGTTGTCCACGATGACCATGAACACTACCGCAATAGCTCTCACAATGATACAGAGGTACAGTGGTTTTTAAGCGGTAACAATAAGAATAGAATCCCATCATTTTCATACAAACTTCACACCCGATTCAACTAACAACAGTAAACTATTCATTGTAAATAATATTATGACGTTTTGCTACCATATACTTTTATTTTCATATTGAATTCATTTATTTTTCGTGAAAGCACTCCGCTATAGTCGTTATAATGTAAGAGGCTCAATTTCACAGCAAAGTAAGACGATGATAGTACGTAATTTTGAATACATTAAACGAAACCGTAAACAAACAAAGATCGAATACTCAGAAAAAATCCTTCGATCCATCCGGATTCGAACTGACGTATTCTAGCTTACCATGCCAAACGCTATACTAACTAAGCCACGGAACGAACCAGCGGATCTCACAAATTTTTCTATGGGCTTGCGTCGTGTCTTTGCATTTGGTTTTTCAACGACTTTTTAGTCGTAGCGTCATCCAAGAGAAATCTATGAAGGATTTATCACCCAGTTAGTAACTTTACAGCTACCAGTCCTGGCGAGAGATGTCGCTATTCACTGAATTTGAAATTATTATTGAATTGATATTCAATTATTTTTTGTGAAATTACTCCACTAGTTACAATTATTAATACAAAGATCGACACTCAGAAAAAATTCCTTCGATCCGGTAAGCTAGAAGACGTCGGTTCGAATCCGGTTCGAATCTTTCACAGATTTCTCATAGATGGCGCTACGACTAAAAAGTCGTTGAAAAACGAAATACAAAGACACGACGCAAGCACGTAGAAAAATTCGTGAGATCCGCTGGTTCGTTCCGTGGCTTAGTTGGTATAGTGTCTGGCACGGTAAGCTGGAAGACGTCGGTTCGAATCCGGCCGGAACGAAGGAATTTTTACAGAGTGTTCGATTTTTGTATTAATAATTATAACAAACTAGTGGAGTAATTTCACAAAAAAATATTGAATATCAATTCAATAAAAATTTAAAGTAAACAAACAATTGTTAACTTATTGGGTTTCAAAAATACAATAATTTTAATGAAGAATATACAAATATGATAGAATAATAATTCCAAAAGTAAATGCAATTTTAAGTTAGTCCGAAAATTCTGCAAAACAGCTACGTCGTTAGCCTAATTTTTTTCAATAATAGTGTTGTAATCTATTAATCGTTTAATTTCACCGAGTCAAATGACTCAATCAAAAACTCTAAAAATTGGAATCAAATTCACTTAAAAATACATTCCTTTTTGATTTTGACAGTGAGGTTAATATTGATAATCACGATTGAAAATCAAATAATATACAATATACCAACGTTTCGGGCCCTTTACAGGTCCCATGTTCACGGTTGACTGTAAATGTACAAATGTCCTTGTTGCTAAATTTGTTATTTATATAGAGGTTGTAAAAGACCGAAATGTTGGTTCGTTTGAAAAAACAAATATTGGTGTACATCGTGAATAATTTTACAAAGACTTGAATCATAGTCCAAATTATTTATTTTGCGTAAAAGAGTTAATAATAAAAAAATATTACCAAAAAAAATTGTTACTGCCTTATAGATGCTAATTTCTAATAAAACAGTACAAGTGAGTTACGAATAGCTAAGTTTATGAATTATTTTTGGAACTTGTGAAAAAAACCTGTTCCCTGAAATGTAAAAAAAAGTGTTGGCTAAAAAGTTAATTGACCCATCAACATGTTTAGCATAAAAAGTCAATTTCACTAATTTAATGACTTTTTCAAATTTGTTCGAACGACCGGCCAGTATATAAATTAGACTTTTTACGACCTCCTGAATAAATTACGCACTTTTATTTATTTAAAATAGCGAAGGCACAGAAATATTATGACTCTAAACTTAACTTTTATAGTCAATACCATAATTTTTTTTCGAGTTCTTAGGTTTTTGCAATTGTTACACATGGTCACGGTCGACTGACATGGGACCTGTAAATGGCCCCAAACGTCGGTTTGTTTGAAAAAACATGTACGCGATTTAAATCCGGAAAAATAGTATCCTTTCCTATATAATTTTTTTTTAAATAACTTACTTTTGGCAATTGTGTTTTATGCGCAAGTCTTACATCGAATGTTAAGGCGGTGTTGTAACACCGCCACACACTAGACTAGGCTAGTCTAGGCGGTGTTCTAACATTCTAATGTGTATTTGTCGCTGTGGTGACCCTCTTATCTTCTCCTTTCTCGACTTGTTTCCTGCATATAGTAAGCTCTATGTAACACGGGGCGAAATGATTGATATTATTCTCTCATGTAAAAATATTCGTGTATTGTAAAAAACGACTGTTATATTAGGAGTCTGCCATGTGAACGACTCGATACATTTCAAAATTCAAAATCGTTACTACAAAAAACGTTTAACGACTGCGCCGATCATTCATCGATGTTGAGAATACTTTCCGATAGATGTCATGAACGTGTACGCGTTAACAGGCGGCTTCACATGATCCGTGATTTTACGCATCACCTCGCACTACTCCGCACGAGCGCATCAAAGGAACAGGCTCGTCTGTAGTAACACATACGCGTCCGTAACGGTGCATAGATGAATACATATTGTAGGTTGTCATTCTATAGTTGGTTAACTATCAATGTGCAAGGACGAGGTGGACGACGATAAACTCTGTAAAATCATGGACAGTATATATAGCAACTTTGTTCGCAATATATCCGTAGTTCGTAAACTAACCCTGTGTGAAATTGCTAGAAGATCATAAACAAATATCAATTCTCGTGATAGGATATCCGCAGACTAAGTAAATATTGGTACACATCGATATAGGGCTTCATTTTGATATTGTCCTATCCACAAATGAAACCACAGGGTTGCATATTTACATCTTTTCGTATAAACCTGATTACACACCACGACGACGACAACAACAGGGGCACTGACGCCGCTGCGGCGGCGCCGCAGTTGTAGTCGTCCATGCATTTGTTTACATAATTTTCATATACGCACCGCGGCGGCTAGTGCTACCGCAATTCTCTACTATCGTACGATTTTAGTTGCTCACATCGCAATTGCATATTTGCGGCAGCAAATAACGCCGCCGCCGCGGCGCCATATGTAATCACCCTAAGTTTGAAATATACAAAAATTGGTGTCACCTTTCAAGCCTAATTACGATTTACGTAAATGTTGAATTTGAAAAAACTTTCTTGACAGATGTACCAGTCGTTCATCTTGCCGTGGTGGCGGCAGGTGCTTTGGACGGTGCTGTTCGCTGGGATGGTGGTGGTGGCCACCGTCGGGAACCTCGTCGTCATCTGGATTGTACTCGCCAACAAGCGAATGAGGAGCGTCACCAACTACTTTTTAGGTATGAACGTATAACGTGCTTCTGCGATTAAAATATATACTTTTTTTGCTTTAGGGGGCAATTGTAACTAAACCTTCGAGGCTTTAAGAATTTAAATCCAATTAATCTATCTCATTAATCATTCAGGCAATTTGGCCCATATTTTTATATATGAACTGGTAAAACATATTTTGAAAATTAAAGATAAAAAATAATTTTTTTATTTTAAAATACAGATGCACGGCCAAAAATTGAAAACATAAGGTCTCGTAAGTATGTTTAAGTTTTACAATAATGAATAGCGTTTCAACAGTTAAAAAGAATCAGGCAGTTTATCTTCCCACGTACATACACTTTTTCGCCAGAGAGGGACCCAGTTTCTAATCGACACAGTTACGCGCCATATATCAAAACGTGACGCGTATCAAAAAGCTAGAATTACCTACATTTTTGAATAAACAATCGGATAGCTCACGTATGTTTATCGAAAGTACATGAAGCTATCGAGATTGCTCGGCATGCGAATTTTAATCGTTGTTGTGGATAGTCGGTACCCGCCAGCTCAAAAACAGTGTTAGGTACTACGTCAGTGATTAGTTTAGATAAGACTTTAGTAGAACGTTTTTTTTTATGACGGGACGAGAAAGTCTCGTGCCTGGTGGTAAGCGACACGCCTGTCCATAATAGTTGCAGTGCTGCTGAGAGCTTTAATTCGCAAAGATCTGAAGGGCCCTGCCGTTGCGCCCGTCACCCTTTTTTTTTTTGACGGGGGGAAATCTTTATGGATACCCCTGAGCCCAGGGAGACTCAGGGGTTATGTGGGGACTCTCCCTCCAGACTGGAGGACCTACCCCACTAAAACCAACCCGGGTTTCCCTCTCGCCGGTTGAGTCGGCGCCGTGGGATCGGTGAACATTCACCACGACGCCGCCCGGCCGCCCTAGCTTGCGCCAGGGCTCCCGCGCCAACGGAGGGGCGAGTCGGTTGTCCTCCGACCCGCCCCCCAGACGAGTGAGGCCGTGCAATGCAGGCTCCGGAGTCCCTGTCCGGAGCCCGCTGGCTTCACTAGGGGATCAAGCGAGCAGCGAACTGCCTTCGCCTTCTCCCCGTACGTCTGCGCCGAAGCGGGTGCGCGTCCGCCGCGTCCTCGCGCACCCGCTCCGCGGCCTCCTTTTGCAACATAACCTCTGCGCGAGCGCGCCCGTCACCCTGAGACAAGTTGAAAAGTTACATGTGCCTGTAACTTCACCAGCACCCTTTCAAAACAGAAACGCAGGAATGTGCACGAAACTGATTGGCGTCAGAAATAGGTAAATTGGCAGTACTTCCCTGGACGAACTCTTTCACAAGAAGCTCTACTGCTACTAAAGATATACTTAAGTTAGACCTCAAAATCGATACTTCACTTCAGATGAGCCTATTAATTCCAGCTTAGTGTAATCTGTATTTAAGAGATTCGGAGAACGCAAATAATAAATTCCTTTGATAAGACCGCGCATTTAATCGTCGACCATAAAGCGTCAATTGTTCGTATAATAAATAACTTAAGGGAGGGAATTGCCTTTGAATACCGACATTGAGAGTAATGATTTCTGAGCAGCTGCTTGTTAGAAGTAGGTATACAGAGCTTGACTTTTTGAAAAATATACTTTATTTGAGGACAGACGATGAAATATTATTAATATTATTTTATATCCCGCAAAGGCACGGTGCAAGGACGAATGGAGAAGCATAGGGAGGCCTTTGCTATGGGACAACTGTTGCTAATTAAGAAAAAGCGTATCATGTATCCTTGTAATTAAAAAAGTGTATTTCCCGTGTCGAGTATACCAGCCGTGACTGCTTTGAAAACGACGTGTCGGAAATCAATTGGTATTTGTCTAATCATCAATTACTGATATCAATATGTTCCCTTCCACGCTTAGCATGACCTCAAAGACAAAGGGTATGGACAAAAGATACACTATATCACTCTACGATCGCGACGGTGACTACCGCGTACACTACTACTATAATAATACCGCAAAAGTTTATATACTCTCGCAAGTTTTGTCTGTTTGTACTAATGCCAAGCCTGTTGGTCGTCTTTTCAATTGCTAGGGTTGCCTTGCAATGCGACTTAATAGCTAAAATTTTTAATAAACATTTTTATTATAAATAATTTTGTTAGCACAATAAGAGGTCGTGCTAATGATATTTTTCCATGACGATGTTGCACCATTTATGGCGGTCTATGGTATAATGTGTGGCAGAGGATTTTGAGTAATCAAATGAAAGGCTAAAGGAACAAAAGAAAATAACGTTAATAACACAGGTACAATCATATGAAATACTCCCTACTTAGATTGCATACAGGTTAGATACGGTAAAATAGGAACTTACCCCAAACGGGCCCGTATTTGTACAAATATTATGCTTTACAAGCAGTCAGGTTACATGATTTTCAATGGTATAACTAGTCAGAATTTGATATGAAGTCAAGTACTTCTGCTCGATTTGGAAATTTACTAAAGAGTGGCAACGGTACGAAGAACAAGAAAAGGAATTAAAGAACGATTCAAAATTCAAAATCTTCAAAATAGGTGGCCAGGAACCAGAGAAAAGGGTGATAAAAAGGTGGGATAATAATGGAAGAGCCAGAAGTGGAGAGCATCATGGAGACGCATGCCGAGAGCCGTACATACTTGGTCGGACCATCTTGAGGAACAGCGACCGCTCTGACATTTACCGTCGATCCGTCCAGTAACCATTTACTGTTCCACGTTGCGCCCTTCTTTCCTGGCAATGTGACCAAAGAAATCAAGTATCCTAGATTCGTACACTAACTGGGAAAGGAGCTGATGATTTTTAACCGACTTCAAAAAAAGGAGGAGATGCTCAACTGTTTTTTTTTCTATGTATGTTACGCGATAATTCCGACATTTGCGAACCGATTTTGATGATTCTTTTTTTTGATGATTCTTCTTTTTTTTGATGATTCTTGGAAAGGAATTTGAAGAAAATATTCCACCTCTAACGGTTGCAAACTTGGGGAAGAATCCGGTTTCGCGCACTTTCCGGTAACCGATTTCAATAAAACTTGGTAAATAGATCTAATTCCATGAACTTTTCAGGTTGGTTTTTTTATATAATTAAACAGATGTTAGTCGAATATATATAAAAACAAACCCGTCTGCATTAGGCTTCAAGTAGGTAATATGTGTAGTGTTAACTTATGTCTTAGGGTAACGAACGTAGCGGCAGTGCCCATCAGATACTTGCGATTTAAAGCTCTGAGTGGCACTGCGACTGTTATGGACAGACGTGTAAAAACGTCAATCCGTTTTAAATCTACGATGACTTCGACAGAGAACAAACATATAAATCAAAGAAAAGGGCTTCAAACTCACAACTTTTGTGCACCGGACTTTTATAAATAAAAAACCGGCCATCAGAAATGGTTAGGGCGCAACTATTCGACACGAATAGCATCGCACTCACCCCGCGCGGCCGCCGCGCGGTCGAAGAGCGGGGTCCGCGTCACTTTTACGTTTTAACTTGAATGAACGTCCCGGGCATGCGGGCGAGACTGGTATGAATTTGGTCTACGAGCAGATAGCCCGGTGGCCCGCGCGGCGGCCGGACAGCGGCAGCGCGGTTGTATCATTTATAGGAATTCAAATATCGTTGTCTAGTAAATAGAATTCAAATTCGCCATTAATGGACATGAAGGCATGGTAACTGGTTACACCGACAAGAGCATGAATTATAAATAAAATCGTAAATTTAGTTGAAATTGGTCCATGAATAATTAAAATTTACCCCGTTACATATCGCACCCTTAGTAATATAAGGGCACAATCCAAAAAAAGTAGATTTTTGGGAAATTTGGGAATTGATAGGGACTTAAATAATAAATGGGATCAAACTTAAATAACTGCATATTTCTGTTATATTTTTTGTACTATATGGCATAAGCATGTTATTTGAAAAAATAGGTGTAATGTAGGAATCCAGAATCTTAATACGCGATTTTCCAAAAATCTACTTTTTTTGGATTGTGCCCTTATATTACTAAGGGTGCGATATGTACGCACAACAGCACATCAAGCTATATACTTTTGTTCGATTATTGCCCCACAGTGCAACTGAAAAAGATCCGTCAAAGTGTTGCTTGATGTGCTGCCGTTTGTACATACGCCAAAGTAACATTGCTCCGTGAATTTTTTGAAGCATGTCGTCGAGGATCTATAAATCTACTGAACAATAAAAAATCGCTTCGTCTCTCGCTTGTCTTCCCTTCAATAGACTATTCCGGAGTACGTTTTGAGTCCACAATCGTATAAGATGCATCTGAAGTTTTTTTTCTGTTACCAAGTGACGTGATGAACAAGTCTGTCTATAGCAGTTCCTCAACTCATACCTTTAAATCATAAATTAGTTCTCAAAGTTTTTATGCTCGAAAAATCTGAATATATTTTGCATAAGCTTGACGTATAGAAAAAACTAAACATTTGGAATTTATCGAGTTCTTAGGTTTTCGCGATTGTTACACATAGGAAATGAAACTATTTTTCCGGATTTAAATCGCGTATATTTGTTTTTTCAAACAAACCGACGTTTCGGGCCCTTTACAGGTCCCATGGTCACGGTTGACTGAGGTGGTACAGTCTTCAACCAGTTATGTCTAATATTAATGCAAACCACCCTATTTTTTCACTATAGTTACAATAGTTATTAATTAAATACCTTGTTTTTAATTTTACAAAGAAAACATTCCAATTTACGCTACATTAAGTTTTACAAATTATTTTATTGAATGAATTTTTATTAAGTTTAATTTATTATTAATTATTAATAGAAATTAGAATAAACTAAAACATATTAATTAGTACTGCAGTCTTATGTCTGTTTGGGATTTTTCATTAGAGGAAATACTGGATCCCAAACTGGTGGTACGGAGAAACCATCTTCCCTGTTGAAATTAGGATGTTTTTTAATTTCAATGGCCTCTCGCAGCATCCTGGGTAGATAACGGACTT